TACATAAATCCTGTAACTTAATAAAATATAATATAGATATCTTAGGCGTTCATCTGTTTCATCTCTTTAGTCCTTCATTAGAGATACGAACGTATCCTAATGAACTTAAGATAGCCAAAGTAATGCTTATATTCAAAGATAGAGACTCATTTGATACTTCAAGTTATAAATTCAGACCCATATCAGTTTTAAGCATATTAATACAATCTTCGAAAAAATTATTTGTAACCATGTAATGAATAGGATTTATATATAAGTACAATATTCTCTGTCATAATCCACTCGTATTCAGAACAAATATATCTAATTCTACTGCCGTCCTTGTTTTGACTCAACTTCTTAACAGGACACTTAATAATTACAAGATTTCTATGATAGTTCATCTAGAATTTAAAAAAAAGAGGCGTTCGATACATTTAATCATAATGTCTTATGGGATGAGCTATACTATTATAGATTCCGAGGCAAAATACACGAACTGTTTTGTAATTACCCTACGGGCCTAAAGCAATATGTGATAACTACTATATTTCTTCCCCGCAAACTGTGCTAATCGGTGTACCGCAGGGCTTTGTTCTGGGACCTATCTTATTTTCTCTGGATGTAAATGATTTCTCGTCATTCTGAAATTACTCAGATTCCCTAATGTACGCTAATGATAGGTCATTAGTCTTTATAGGAGATACTGTTGATGAATTCTAGTCAAAAGTAACCGAGAAGTTACCTAGGGTCCTTAGATGGTTTACAAGCAATCAACTCACCCTCAACGTACTGAAAATTATGTATACAGTGTTTCACTCTAGGAAAAATAAAATAAACTACGATGGGCTGGCAATTTTCCTGGATAAAACAGAGCTGCAGCATGTTTCTTGCTACAGAAATCTGGATGTTCTTGTTGACTGAGATATGCTTTGGAAATGACATACTATTTATATTTGTTCAAAGGCTGCATATGGATGTTACAAATTACTAAAAAAGGCACACGAATGTTTTAATTTAAGCATTCTACGAATTTTTTACTTGGCATTTGTACGCAGTCAGCTTACGTATTGCACAGAGTATTGGGGAAGTACCTAGACTACGTACCTAGATCCCGTTAATCTTCTACAGAAACATGGGTTAAGAACTATTTCATTATCCAGAATGACAGATGATAGCACACCTTTATTTCATTCAATACACGTGCTACCTACACGCTCTGTATATATATTAAAAATAACTTAAATAATACACCACATTATAGTTACTAATGACCCAATGTCCCTAAGTCTGCTTGAAAGCCCAATAAGACCTTCGCGGGCCGCAGTTATAAATCGTTTCAATCTACCGCCATGTACAAAAGCACATGGTCAAAGACTCCTTAAATTTAACGGTGCATTGATCTGGAATGCAATACCCGCGGATGAAAAGCAGAAACCTCATTTGTTCCAGTTATTAAAAAAATATATACTTTTAACATATAGGTGTGATAATGTAGCCGTGCCATAACGCACTAAAAGTAAATGTATTCGTTGTAATTTAGCTTACGTGCCGCATTGTGAAACGTAGTTTATGACTGGACCCACCCGTGGCCACTTCGGAGATGGGTCCAAAGAATTGTTGTATAATTGAATGTATGATTTGAAAACAAAATATTTTAAATCTGCAAACTATTGCTACATTCCGAAACAACTTCAACCGCAGTCATACAAGACGAACGTAATTTACTCCGCGATAATTATTTACCGCAGCATGAAACCGTGGCTTTAAGACTGTTTAAAGCTAGGAAACGGAGAATGCTCATGGAGGTTAAGGAAAAAGAGCTGACTGGAAATAATGTTGGACTTCCACTGATGAGTGTGTATGAACTGAACCTTCAGAGCTTCACCGCCGAATCTGGTAACGCAGTTAACTCATCAAACATAGAACTACCCACTCAGGATCCACCGACGAGAGTGTGAACGAGGAACGCAGAATTGTATTCCTGAATCCACTAACATAATTAACTTATCAAACACAGAACTGCCCACTCACGAATCCCCGTTCCTCTATCGAGGACTCAAATTCTGCCCCACAACAAACCGATATGACGAATTTTATTTGCTCCATGACCTAGATAATTTTGCCCGACACCATCGACTTCGGGAGTTCTTTTTCGAAAGTCCCCGCGAAGGCGCGTCTAATCTTTAATCCGCATTAACTGGTTGGACAGCCAAAACTGACAGAGACAAACCTTTAGACATTTTAATTAATGCTGATTAGAAAAAAACGTCGCAGCGGCTTATAGAGATCAGCAGCCCGAGCAGAGCAGCCTCCCCGTTCCTAGAACTGAGGGAACTCAGGTCCCTTAGCGAAAGAGACGACATCGTTACAAAACCTGCCGAAAAAGGGGACGTCAAAGTCATTCTTAACACCAGCGATTACTTAGGGGAAGGCAACAGAAAACTTAACGTTGCACAAACTTTCACCAGCTGGTTTGCGCCCTAACCCGTTGTTAATAATTTTAGTGTCTTCTTAAAACGATCCAACTCGGCAACATGCCGACGTTATACAGGGGCAACTGGGCCACCTAGAATACGGGTTAATTTGCGAAAATGCGCCAAGGCATTAACTGCTAAAAAAAAATCTGAAGACACCTAAGCACATCCAATGAGTCGTGAATGCGAAAGCATTAATGGCGTTCACAGCTCCCTTAGTGCGTCTGCGGTGTACTGGCTTGGACGGCCACGTTTCGCTACTACCTAGGTTGCGGCCGCAGACGATTTAGATGCCTCAGGCGCCGAGATGTTCCTCGGCACCGTGAGGAGTACCGTAAAACGGCTCAAACCCCCCCCCCCCCCCTCTCCCCCCCCCCCCCCCCCGCTTCCTGCAACGCCTGACACCAGAGCGGCGGCCTACCGCGCGCTCTCGTGAAGCGGCCGCCAATGGCCATCTAGGAGCCGTTTTGCTCAGCCAATGGAATAATGGGCATTTCTTTCGCGTTTTCTGTTTGCGGTTACAGACGCCACCGGCTCTGTTCCATGAGATAAGTATAGCTCTCGCATTAAACCTCCGTGCCAGTTCCATTGTGCATGCTGCAAAATATTCACAAAGAAGGGAACCCAGGCCATTCCATTATATCTGGATTAGGAACCCTCACAGAACCAATATCTAGCTACATTGATAACTTAATTAGGAGCATCCCATCCAGCTTCCCGTCGTACATCCAGGACGCAAACAACCTCCTCAGAGAAATTTCAAAAATTATTCTTCCTTGAGATACTTTCCTTGTCACAATGGACCTGTCGTTATTATATCCCAACGTCCCTCACAAATGTGACGTCAGATCGAGTCGCCGCTCTGACGTCACCTAAGCCCCTGCGCAACAAGCAGAAGATTTGCTGTCCTCACAAAGCACGTCCTGTGTTAAAAAAAGAAGAAAACATGTCAGTGAATATTATAATTCGTTTTATTATCTACTATCCGCCTCAGAGGCCGTTGCGAAACCTCAAAGCATTGGAGGTGGTAGAAGTGGTATGACGCACAATTTATCTACCGTTATTACAGGTTACATTTTTTCATCTCACATGAGAGCACATTTGCACTAACCCTCAAGAAGAATTTTCTGAGTTCCTGTCTTTCTGAAATTAATAGGTCATCTGCCTTGTTTACAAGCTTAAGTACAGCTATGAAATTCCACGGACAGTAGAAGAAACAGAAAAAAAAAATATTAGAAAAAGTAAGATTTGATTGTTGTTTTGTCTGGTGGATACTGTGCACAGTAAACCAGAAACGGCGTTCCTGGAAGCGTCAAGTAATCGTAAACATTGTCGGCTGGAGTAAGGTAGCTAGGATTAATATATACGAAAATATATATAAAACGCCGGGCTCAAAAGACTACACTTCGAGCATAAAAAAACTGATTTTCTAGTTAACTTTTTAGAGCGCAGCTTTTAGGCGCCCGTTTCCGGCTTGAGCGGTGTCGCCGTCGCCGTCGGCGTAACCGTGAGGTCGCGTGAGCCCCCCCCCCCCCAGGGCCCGTTTGCTCGAAGCTGGTTAACTAACCGCGGTTAACCGGATTTCCCTACGAGGGGGAATTTTAGGTCACGTGACCTGCAGAGTAGGGACGCCGGAGTAAAATAGTACCTAGCATCAGACAATATGTCTAATATGGCTGCTACGGCCGCTCGTCACGCTTGGGAACATTTATTTTTACGAAGATGCGTCATCCTCGTGTCACGAAAAGGACATTTCAACACAAAGTCTGCTGTCGGAGTTGACGGCGAGCATGCTGTGGGAGCAGGGCCACGCCTGACTGGTTTCGTCGAGTTTGAATAACATCACGCACCGCCCTCTGAAGTGGACTTGTTTTATTGAATGCTACAGTCAGCGGGATCTTCAAAACGTATATCCTAGGTAAGTGCCGCGATGTTTCACGAGAAAGTTATGAGATTGTACCGCTATCAAAATTTCATGTCAGCAGAACTTGCGTTGTAATCAACGTCCAGCTTTCTTTTCTTTTTTTCACTTTTAAAACCTACCTCGAGCCCCAATCGCATGTTAGTGCAACAAATCTCTCTCCGAAAAACGGCCTCTAATCGCGGAGTCTGGTTTATAGTACAGTTCGTCGTGTTTTGTATTTGCAGCGCATCCACAACACCGACGACCCCCTTTAGCGACGGTTCAACGAAGGCAAGATGCAAACTAAAAACTTCCCTCAGAAGCAAAGATCCATTACCTCAACAGAAGCTGCCGGCACGGATGCCGGCACGGCATTCGATCGAACTTCGGTACTGTCGTCTGCGAACTTGTACAACTGGAAAATAAACAAAGCTTCTATCGGAAAAGAAGTGTGCATATTTTCTCTTGCGCTTGTCTTTCTTCAATTTATTTTGTTTCAGATAACTAGATGTCTTATTAGGATTATAAAGAGAGACATAATTACGTAGCAGACGATCACAACCAATCTGAAATCTAAAATGAGTCAGGCGAATGCAAGCATCACCATGAAACGGCAGAGGAATTGGTCATTGGATGAACAATTAGAACTAATTCGGGCAGTGGGGGAGAGGAAACATCAAATTATGGGCAAGTTCAGTGCTACGGTCACGACCCAAACAAAAAGGCAGGCATGGGACGAAATTTACAGAGCCATGGGCTGTTTGCGCACCCCAGACCAGCTACAACAGTGCTGGAGAAACCTCCTAAAAAAGACTAGACAACTCTACAGCTTATTCAAGAAGCATGAACAGCGCACCGGTAAGTTCATTGTGTTCTTAAGTTCAAAAGATATTGCATTGCTTTAGTGATAATACATGAGCAACCAAACCTAGAAACGTGAATGTGGACATTTGTATATTCGTTCACCTTTGCCCTCTGCTGGGAGTCGACTTTTCACCTTCCTTGAACAGCAGCAAAAGCAGTGTTACAGCATCAGAAAACAATTTATTCCAGTTTATGTACAAGTTCTGCACAGGCTGTATGGAACTTGTAAAACAGTTTAGTGGAAGACCCAAAACTTCGGACAAAATATTAAAACAGATTATAAGAGAGCACAATGGTAGAGGCCGACAGGCCAAACTGTAAGAAAGTAAAAATTGCACGATTACACAGTCCACAGTTTCAGCAGTGTTATCTAGCAGTTAATGAATGTTTAAAAGAATGTCTCATGCAGTATTTGTTTATTTTAATTTTCCCATGAAAGTTCCATTTACATACTTGGTTGAACAGTGAACCCCACCTCCTCTGTTTTTGCTCGTAACTCGAGTAAGTAAGAGTCGAGACGAAATTACTACGCCTCAATTCATAGGTGCTGGGCCAAACCCCCACGTCCTGACGCCCCTCGTCGAGGCCGTCCTCGAAGTGATCGGCGAGGACTCGCCCAACCTGTGCGGGTTGGAGGCCACCATAGGTGACACGGAAGAGTAGGTGACTGGTTTCTAGACCCGATTGTGTGAAGAGTAAATGGTTTTAACGAACCGGTCACAGTAATGCAGAACTGTCGTTCCAGGCGAGGTTCTAAAAGACGAGGACAAATGATGATAAGAAGATGGGCATGTTGCCATTTGAATGGCATTACTGCCGAGTACTTTTATATAAAGACCAGAGGCCGGATGCCCGAAACTTTCTTACAACAAAGTTACAAACTTTTGAGTATTCCCGAAGCAAAATGTTTGTAAGTTTTGCGCAAGTTCTGACGAAATCCGTAGCTTGCGCAAAACTTACGATCTTTGTGCTTGGGGATTACTTAAAAGTTCGTAAATTTGTCATAAGATAAAGCTACTAACTTTTTTGTCGTAAGAAAGTTCCGGGAATCTGGCTTCAGTTCTATTTCAACAGCAAAAGCTCAAAGGCGGTTCGAAATATAAGTCACGAAACCGTCTTCCAGAGTGCACTCTAAGATCTGACGAGGCACCAGCGCTACCACATTTCTAATTATTTTCAACAAGGCTGAAACAGTTTCACCGAAGCTACAAATTCATGCAATAACACGGCATGCAATGAGAAATCAGGTGGTAAAGCTGTTTATTACCATCTTATAGAAATTAAATGCAACAAAGTGGCAATGGCTTTTTTTTAATGCTAACTTAGCACGCTTTCAATATGCAAATGAAAAGATCACACACAGTACAACCATCCTGTTGCTTGTTTTACCAACTTAGGAAAATTGGCTCAAACATTAACTTCATTCTGGTCGGGAAGTTAACTACCCCCATGATGGTAACCTGTGTGAGTAAAATCAATGCCAGTGAAGCTATGTGCTGTAATGTTTGAAGTTGTCCTATAAATGTGCAGTGCATTGTGGTTTGACTGGACATGTGACCACTAAATTTATGAACTGTTAATCGCATAGCTACACAGCTGCATTCTAACCTTTAGAATGCAGCTGTGTGCTCTTCACAACCAAATGCACATTTTCCTACACCATGTACTGGGCAATTGTGCAAGAAGTAACAACACTGCGCTCCGACCTCAAGCCTGTGCGTCAGTGTATAAACCAACTTGGCTCACAAACTTTGTCCTCTGTACCAACCCGTATGAATGAATTTTGGCGCAGCATCGGTGTCTTTATCAGGGTTACAAACTTTGCACAGTGTGTTCTCTTTGCCCATGCTGACAAGAACAAAACCTGACCACTTTTTACACATGAATTTGTCGCAGTGACAGCTCCAGGGGAATAGATCCACAGCCTGGTCCCTCTGGGAGCGGAGCAAGTGCGGCAGTGCTGCACGAGAGTCGGCCGCTGGAGGCGGTGCAGCGGGCTCCAACAAATGTGCCATACAGCCGACGTTGGTGCCGGGAGGCTTCACAGCGCTTCTTGCAGGAGACAGAAAGGCAGCAGCAGCTCGAGGGAGCTAATCTCCTGCTGGAGAAGGAGAGCACAGAAATGGTTAAGCAAGCTGCCACGGCAACAATTGCAGCAGCAACTGCTGCCGAGGAGTTCTACCAGCAGTCAAAAAAATTACTAGAGGACCAAAAAAATTTAATTCAACTGGAAACATAGCGTGCAGAATTGGAAATCAAATTGCTAAAAAAACAATTAGGAGAAGAGTAAACATTGACATATTACGCTGTTTTTAATTTTCATTTTGAATGTATATATATATGACAAAGCCAACACAGCTGCTGATAAATAAAATCCATTTTACTTGCAACTGTATATTTCTAGATTCAGATCTGCTCTACTCTGTCTCGTCCTACGATGGACTAAAGCCCAATGATACACGCCGCCGGGTCCAATCACGAGCCTGTTTGAAACCATGTGGTATATTTGCTCCGTCAAACATATCGGTGCGCCGAAACGTGTCATGCGAAGACAAGTTTTTCATCTGCTTATCGAGAACTAACGGCGGCTCCGCCTGCTTGCAGGGTTTTTGCTCTAGTTCCTTGTCACAGCACGAATAGTTGCGACGCTCAAGAAATCTTGACTGCTGATCCATCTCCGTGTGCTCTGTCCGTTCCGCCGTCAGCCTCGTATGCGCCTCAGTTGCCGCTAAGACTAAAAGCCTGCCTTGCATGTACTCATCGGAAGATCGTCTGGCTAATTTTATCATTTGCCTAATTTATCTTCGTATCTCCCTGAACCATAGCCTATGGTATTCGTGTTCCCGCTGCGCCGGGGTAATCGGCAGCAGTAGTCAAGCGTAATATGTGGGGACGGCGTGGGCGAAAATTCCACTCTCTTCCAACCTAACGCAGAAACAACATTTGGTATTCCAATGTTTGATCAATTAAAAACAAGCAGAATGCACTGGTACTGAAGACCATGCAAAGCAGCATGTGCAATATATTGGTATACTTACGCTCAACCGAAGAACTGGCTGACGATGGCATCCCGAGCCTCGTTGCTTTCATCACGGCCCGCTGCCACGGGCTCGACGGGAACCTCTTCGGGGAGGACAGTCCTTGGCATGCTGCAGGGGTATGTCTTGGCCAGGTTGTGCAGGACACAGCAGGCAACAGTGATGTCGCAGCATCTCTCTGGCTGCATCCTCAACTCAGCATGGAGGCAATGAAATCTCCGCTTGAGCTGGCCTATTGTCCTGCACAGTGTATAAATAGAGCAAGATCTGTTATCCTTTTGAAGTGGTTTATAAGAACATCTAATGAGATCGGCATGCGATGTCTATCATCGCTCCAGCCCATCGAAAACATGGTATTATGCCTAATAGTTAATATTTTTGTTGGAATATTTTAACATAGTAATGAAATGCAGATTTTGTTAAAGATTTCAGTGATGTGATTGGTCTGAGTCATTTTGGAGCAGCCCTTGGAGCAGTCAAAAGTCAATTATGGTGCAACAAAAAGAACTTTTGTAGCATAAGCGCACATTCATTTTTATTGATACCAATGCAAACATCACGTCAAGATTAATTTTTCGGCCTGTCCAACTAAAGGGCAAAGTCTACGTTGCCTTCTCACATACGTTCAAACCTTTGTTAGCATCAACTGCGCAGCAGGAGTTCCTCAAACACAAAACTATAGCGTTCAGTTGCGTGGAGAAGCACCATGACAGGGTAACAAAAAGGTGAGTGATGAAGGACAGCACAAACTCCTTTAAATGGTTATTTTAGGTACTGAATGCCACTAAATTAGTACAATAACATTGGTCACATAAACTGATGTTTCCTTCAAGTTCTAGAGGTTGTAATAAAACTGCAATTTATAAATGAGATAAAAAAACAAAGCAATTATCATTTGATTATCAACATAAATTACATTTTATCTGTAGAACTTCAGAGCAAAAACGGCATGTGAACGAAACTTAAAAACAAACCCGCCGAACTCATTCAGGCTCTTCCTGAGATTTCATCCACTGCTCCTGTCAATTTAGTTCTAATCTACTCGCACCTACAGAAAATTGATAGCTAAACAAATGAGTTGGCATAAATAAATAAACATGCATAAGAGCATATATAAATGCTCTTGCAATACCAAAGTACCCTTACTAAATCTCGAAATTGGAAAAGGTGCCGCCGGGATCTTGTAATCCATCATATTTACGAGCCGAAGTTGTGTTCAGGAATTGTGTTGAGTCTCACTTTGGAGGAGAGCTTTCTCCTTAACACAGGGTCCGCTGCAGAGACGCAAGACATACAAAGTTGCGATGCCTACTCCGTGGTGTTTGCTTCTTTGCAGTACACCGGTGCGTGGTGAAAAGCGCATTCAACGACACTATAGTCCGTTGCAACCTAAGAACGAAGGGCGAGGGTAAGACGGGTTGGGGAGGAGGAAGCAGGCGGAACGCTAAAGAGAGAAGGAGGTTTCCCCCTCTCTTCTCTAGCGTTCCGTCTGCTTCCTCCTCCCCGGCCTGTCTTACCCTCGCCCTTCGTTCTTAGGTTGCAACGGACTATAGCTAACCCTCCAGAATGAACAGACGACTAACATAAAAATTATTGCGAAACTTCCAGATATTGCCTGTCATTCATACGAAATGTGATGGAATGGTATCGTATACGAGACTATAATCAAAAGTTTTGAAAACCTGAAAACTTGCGTAAGCATATCGTGACGGTCCGGCCGGGCAGCGAAGCCCGAGCTATTATATTTTCAGTATTATTAAAATGAAAATAAGTTTTGGTGCTACGTTGGTGCAAATTTCTCACATTTTCGTTAAATGTAGCAGGACGTAGCAGGGTAATCACTTTGGCGCAAATGGCGCAGCAATCCCATCACAGATATAATGAAAATGTTCTTCGCAAAAACTTGCAAGGAAAATTGCAGTTTGAGATAAGCAGTATTTAATAAGATATGCTTGAATAAGTCTGTACACAAACTGTCTAAAAACAAAACCTGCCTAAGCCAGTGTTTTTTTTTCACATTGCAAGCTGTTTTTTTTTCTAAGAATTGCTTTACATTTAGGCAATATAGAGTAACAAAAAAAATTAACTGCTATTGTTTGAAATGTGTAAACAGCTAGTAAAAACCTGTAGGTTAATAAACCCAGTCATACAGGAAGGATATGTTTCAGAGAAGTTCTAACTTCTATTCTGGAGTTTATACAGAAAAGAGCAAATGAAATATAACAATTATTGTGACATATAGAGTTAACTGGCTAATGGTTGAATTTTGTGAATTGATGTTCTTCATTCCCACAATGCTGGCTAACCTTAGAATAAACATTTCAGGCTATGGCAGTAGGTTATAGCCCGTAGTATAAATAAGGTATAGTAGAGATACGCCTTCCTCTCCTTGCTTCTGAGCAGCCGTAGCCTACTATGCAAGAACATAAAAATGGCAACAAATGTAAAGCTCAGGCACAACCACATAAAAAAGGTTAGGTGCCTCAAGGTACCGAAACACTGAACCGTCGAACCAGGACGCATAGCCTGGCTTTACCGTTCCACGATGCTCCTCGTTGTGCTATGTGACGCATTGTAGGCGACCTCCGCTGCTGATGACGGAGACAGGAAGGGCGTCATCAGCCATGGCTTGCAGGTGTAGCCGCTGTCTCCAAGCAGTAGGCCCTCGTAAACGCCATCGGCCAGCTTGCCTGACAACGAGCCCTCGGTGAATATCCTAGAGTCGTGGGTGCTTCCAGGCCATTTTGCAACCACATTGCGGATACGGTAAAAGACGTCAACCACTAACTGTACATTTATTGAATGGTACAGATGGCGGTTAACGTACACCTCCTCATGCACTTGTGGTGCCTGTATCCGAATGTGAGTGCCATCAACAGCACCCACGACCGAAGGAAACCCACCGATCTCAAAGAAGGCCTGTTGTAAGGCATGACCCTCAGCTTCACCTGGCCACCTGCATTGTAGATGGATTTGAGTGAGTCTGTAGCACTATGACATTAACAGTGACAGTTTTGTTGTTATGACCCGAAGGAAAAATCCATCAATGTAACGCTGTTTGGCAGTCAATGTTTTCTAGTGGACCGCTGACTGCGCCTGACTGTACGTCAAGCATGTCTGATTGGACAACAAGTTACTCTGACCGACAGTCAAACTCCAGTCAGACCCCGCTTGTCGGCTTTCTGATGGTTTCCTGGTGGCAGTCGGCCGCCGCGAAATGCCATCAGGATGTCCTGGTGGTGATTCTGACTGTACATCGATTGTCTCTGACTGTACGTCAGAAAGCTTTGACGTGCAGACAGAAGTACGGTCAAAGGACGTAAAGTTCGTTCGGATACCACTATTTCGTCAAATCTATGAATACGAAAAGTAATCTATGCACGAGAAAACGATTTCGGGACGTGAGCCCATAAAACCGCTGACGTTAGAGATGTGACACGCAACCGACCGACAACCTTGATCAGAAGCCCGCCGAAGCCGCCGAAGCGTCGAACACAATGGTCGCACACGACTCTTCGCACTTCGCTTCGCCCATGGGGGCTTCGCCGAGCTTCCATGAACGATCGCTCTCGACTCGTTTTGTTTGCCCGCTTGCTCCAACCTGTCGATCCTGCCCGGGCTCTGCAATGTCTTACGTTTTAGTAGAATTTCTACTCGACAAGACCCAGCCTGTTGTGAGTTCCGACAATGTAAGGCACTTTAGCGGTGTAGTTGAAGACGACAAGGTGTACTGTACTACTGGGCCGGAGACGCTCCAACGAAAGGAGGATTTTACGACGCGAAACTACTGTGCTTGGCAGGTGAGTAGAACTGAAGTACGGCGATTGATGTACGATTGCTTGGTTTAACTGCATATGCAGCCGAAGCACTTTTTAGAGCGATGCACTCATTGTCGGAACCTCTCGCTGCAATACTGAAATGCTCTTGACTCGGTCCGAGAGGTTTAGGCAAGAAAGTTTATATCTTTCTATCAGGTGTGCACGGTAAAAACGTTCCGTAAAAAAACGTAGAGCTTCTCATTAAAAGCTACGGAGAAGCATCCGTAATCTGAAATACGATTGACTTGTCCGTAAATCTAAAGTTACGATTCTTTAAACAACTAAAATTGTTTCCGACAAGCTGAAAGTTGTTTTATTTGGTTTAGACTAATAGACAACGGTTCTCACATTTTAAAGAATCATTTATTGCACTGTCAATCAACTAATGATAAACGTTCCGAAACGAGGTAGCGCTAGTTACCGCTCAACTGAAAAGCACGAGGTAAGACTTTTGTCTAGTATAATCACACTGCCGCTATCTCTTCATCTATCCATCTCCGCTCGGTCGTTTTGCTGCCGTTACGGCCGTTACTGCCGCGCTTGTTTTGTCGAGGGGTAGAGGTGCTTGGTGGTTTATGTGCGAGCTTTCCTTGTTGTTATCAAAACGGTGAGTTTGTTCTGCTCTTTTTATTAACATTGATTGGGGACTGTCATATATACGTTCGTATTTTTGACACTTCTTTCCTCGAAAGAAACGAAACCACGGATTTGCGTCGCTTGAAACTTTCGGGTTCAATGACTGTCGCTGCTATCTCAGTTCGTGTTTGACGTTCTTCTCAGAGTTGAAAGCTCAAGTCGGGTGCTCGTTTGAACTTTGTGTCATGTCGTGAGCTCGCTGGGACCAATGGGACGCGCGGTTCGTGTTTTGTAGCGATTGGGAGGCTATTCGCGCGTGCTGGCTCGCAAGAGTTGCAGTAAAGCACGTGACAACCCATCGTCTGAGTGCGTGAGTGCGCTTTGTTTCGCATCGTTGTTCGCGCTTCCTGTAGCCTTCTCAGTTCGCCGAGGGGTCCATATCGTTTCGTCGAAATTCGTTTCGCGGCAGTACGTTTCGTGAACAACTTGTTAAGGACACGTTTCGTCGACACGAACGTTTCATCGACACTCGTTACGCGAATTTCATGCTGCAGTGACGTTTCGCCACTCGTGTATCACTGAAGTGCGCGTAAACCCACACCCCCGCCTGCGTTCACACCACTTCGCGGCGACAGCCTGCGGCTGCTCGTTACAAAAATGTTAACCCACCTAACCGACCCGTACAGGTCGCTTCGCGGCGATAGTCTCATGCAGCTTACCCCCCCCCCCCCCCTCGAAAAAAAAAAAAGAAAAAAAAAGAAAGAAAGAAGAAAAAAAAGAAGGTTAATTCGAGCTGTCGATGAAACGATCTGTCGAGGAAACGTCGTTCGATGAACTGATTCACCATTGGTGTATCACCACTGCATACTTCACGTTCACTGGTTGGTTAGCAGTCATAATGCAGCCGATGAATTTCTCATTTCACAGAATGCACTTGTGTCACTGTACGCTGATTCCCCCCAACCAGATGGTCTAAGATCATCGTATTGATATTCATTTTTATGCTCATAATAGTCTATGTGTATATTAAAGCAATATACCTCCGCTCAATACTTGCACGGTGCCACTCAGGAGGGCACGTAATACCACTGTTCCACGGACTGCAAAATTGTGTGCATTAATCTTGGCTCCTCAGTCAGACTGTTTGTAAGGAACATAGCCACCGTTCCTGCAGTTTCAAATTGTCTTGAGATGCAAGCTCATATTTTTTTCAGGAGGCGTCTTCAACGACAATTGCTTCCTTGTCACTGAGCATCGGCCAATGTTTAAAGAGCCTATGCCATTCTTGAAGGCGGTATGCGTCTTGTTTTGAGCTTTTTACGTGTTGAATTTACCTATTCAACGGAAGCCTTGGCCACTCTCGAGTTTATGCAAATGTGAGAAAATCTTGAAATGCGTCAAGTCCACAGGATGTGTCATAGAATGACATAATCTAGATTACCCTATCATTTATCGTGCTGTAGCGCCCTTTTTCACAACTCGCACAAACATTTGAGCTGTACTAATTTTACAAAGAATTACGCTGCTGCATATTTATAATGAATTGATAACGTGGGAACACTGGTTGTCATTAGGCTGTAACTTTCAAGGCAGGGAAGCATGGTTATCTTGTATAGACCAGAACGCGGCACTGACGTCACGCAGCTGCGGTGGCGCTGTCGGCGGCACAAATTCGCGTAAAGTGAAGCGCAGACGCTTCACTTTACGCGAATTTGGTTTTTGCGCACGCACAGTGCTCACACCTGTGTGGGCAAACGCGGACTTGCTTATTAACAGGGTGTCGGTCTATAGAATGTGTGCTTGTTCAGCAGTCATTCAGGTTTAACATGTTCCAACACTACCATAGTCTGACTTGATAGTAGAAAATAAATGGCTTCACCTTCACCAGGCTGAGTATGCTTGAAGCAGGCATGGCATTAATGTTAGATGATGCAATATATCCTCCTAGACCAATCTTCCAAATCAACCTGGAGAAGGGCTTGAAGAGAATGGGAGCAGTGAAGCGAACGACGGCCCAGCTCAAGATTTTAGCGATGCTGAAGAGATTCAAATGAAGTCTCCACAGAAATCCCTTGAACCTGTATGTTTTTTTATGGTAAGTGCAAATTTGAATTCCTACACATCTAGCATGTACCTAAGAGGAAGACAACTCTAATGTGACTGATGCCAATCTTTTGAGAAGCGTAACAAAGGGCTTTGTGAGTATTCAGAACTTTCAAATATCGAAGCGAATGATGTCATATTTTATTTATACTTTCATCGGATAGGACGGTTCGGCAGTTGTACGAATTTTCAATCTGAGAATGCTCCAGGACACACCATCGTAAAAAAGCAACTGAAACGACTCACAAAAGCCCACACAGAAGTCTGGGAACTGTATGCAAATAAAACTTATTTCAACTCGTTTATTTAAAACGGGAAGGCATCCTGTAATTGTAACCACAGATGGTTGATCTGTAAAATGTTTGAGCCCCCAGAGCCAATACATGATTTGCTGCGGTATGCTGCTGTGAACCGGTGATGCATGCATGCAGTGCGAGTGCTACAGTGTCAAGGCAGATGTGGGCGACATGATATGGTATTCATATCCCGTGTTATTAGGAGTCTGCGTCTGTTTAATTACAGCAACCGGCATCCTGCCACTTTACAAATTATCTCCTTGCAACTTTTTTGCCCCTTGCTCTCGCACAAAATAATTATTCGTTTGATATTTAAATGTATTATTATTAGAGGGGGGGTGCAACGATTTTATGATTAAGAGAATTTGCATCTCATCATTTTTATGTTGTTTATCACGTCCCGGAGGATACAGAAAACATCTGCTTCATTAAGAATGTTGCGATTCTGCTGCATAATCGCAAAACAAAAGCCAAGCTTTTTCCCCCACCTGCAGCCGCAAGTGGCAGCCGAAGGAACTGCGGCTAGAAGATTACGTGCCCTCGCTCGGCTCCAAGCTGCAGCATAACGCCCGCTAATGTCAGCAGAGAGAGGGAAAGGAAGCGTCCTCCGAGATAGCACACGGGAACCTACACGGCACTCCGAATGACGTCACTAGGAGTGCGACCAGGTGTGACCCTGAAGACTGGGAGTGAGTTGAGGGGTGCCCGAAATGCCAATAGCTGTCTTTTTTTTTACGCAACAACTAGGACGCGCAGGCGAAATCGGTTTCCTGTTCTTTACTTCAGAAGTGTCAGAGAGCAACCTCCACAAATTTTTGACCGAAGTCCGGAAATCGTTGCACCCCCCTTTAAATAGTAACTTTTAAGCTTTGAACTAGGTGAAGCCTCATGGTTCTTTCTTTTTGTTTTATAGAGGTTTTTCAAAGCACAAGTCGGCCGGTCTGCCAGCCACCTGCAGCCATGCTTGCACTGCATGATTACTTAGCATGTCCAGTGCCAACTGCTATTTAAGCTGCTCTAACCTGATTAAATTGACAGTCTGACAATCTTGTGTCTTGTTTTTCAGAAAATACAGTGTGCACCTCAAGACGTCGAGCTATGTTTGACGATTTTACCATTCGAACCAGCTGAATTACGGAGTCAACTTCGCTTTTGTATTTTTT